ATATATATATATATATATATATATACAAACACCATAACTGTTATTCTATATGGGAATGCTATTATAAAAATTGTAATTTACTACCGACGCCAACGTCACTAAGTTAGCGCAAGACCAATCACTTGATACGACAAGTGTATGACCCTTAATTCATAGCAGAATATGCATGGTTGATATTGAAGCTACTGTTAGCGAATATATACATACCGGCTCTCTGCAACACACACTAACGCCAGCTTTCTAGCGTCGGCTTTTGGCAGCAAATACCGATGAGTAAACCAGTTGCAGGTTTTATCATAAACTACATTATTTTGTGTGGAGGGTGTGGGTGTACGGTTTGTCAATTTAGTCCAACCATATGTCGGTTTACAAACACACACAATATTTTCCGCCAACCATACACATTGTAACGCCACCAACATGTTATTTATAAAAACCTTATCTTCCTTTACAGAAACACGTGTACATATTTCCTACCAACAGGTGCGTGCGCCACCGAACCACAATTCCCCCGCACTAGTTTGCTAAACCAACACTATACTATAGTAGTTGGTCAGCAAACGATACAAGTAGTTTGCACAGAAATATGGGTTTTCGCGCGCAGTGTGCAACCTTTCACCTGCGTACGTGGCGCGATAACGTAGCCTCGGGCGCATACGGCGGCCGCCGATTCCGAACCCACAACGGCCACCGCTCCTATTGAGCACACTGGCGCATTGTATACAGCCGTTAACCCCCCCACCACCACCATGCGCTATTAAGCTCTCTGGACCGTAGGAAAGTGTACTAACGCTGATATCTCGCAAACGAATTGAGTTGAACATGTCTTCGCTATGGTCTCCGTAAATATTAAGTTTATTGAAGCACGAATAGTTTAATTAATTACCAGGCTAATGTATACGCACGGCTATGGACGGTAGAAAAGTGTACTAACTATCATATGCCGCGAACGATTTGAGTTACATTTTTAAACTTCTAGATACATATCAACACATGTCGTAGCTATAATCACCGTGAATTTTTGACATGTGTTGATATGTATCTAGAATTTTAGAAATGTAACTCAAATCGTTCGCGCCATATGGTAGTTCTATATAGTACACTTTTCTACCGTCCATAGCCGTGCGTATATTAGCTTATGAGCGATACCGCGCGTATATTTTTGATAATCAATTAAACTATTCGTTCTTCAATAAACTCGAAATTCACAGAGACCATGCACAGCTAAGACATGTGTTTATATGTATCTATAATTTTAGAAATGTAACTCAAATCGTTCGCGCCATATGATAGTTAGTACACTTTTCTACCCTCCATAGCCGTGCGTATACATTAGCCTATATGAGCGATACCGCGCGTATATTTTTGGTAATTAATTAAACTATTTGTGCTTACATAAACTCAATATTCACGGAGACCATAGTGAAGACATGTGTTTATATGTATCTCGAATTTTAGAAATGTAACTCAATTTGTTCGCGAGATATCAGAGTTAGTACCCTTTCCTACGGCCCATAGCTTAATAGCGCATGGTGGTGGTGGTGGTGGGGGATGTATACAATGCGCCAGTGGGCCCAATAGAGGGTTCCGCGATTTTTCATATTACCAACAATGCAACGCCGCCGGCCATGACGATTACAGAAACTAGCTCAGGCATGGTACAAGTACATTGAGCAACGCACTGTTCTCTGCTCATTTTATTCGCCTATTAAGCAAATTCTTCACAACGCCGCTCTCCTGCGGTGTTGTCAACTGCAGCAATCGGTATCGGAGAGAGCCACACAGCTTTTTTAGGCTGCCTAGCGTGATCACAACACAAGGTAAAGTGACGAGATACAAGTCGGACCACAGACGATTGGAGCATTTTCAATAAAAAAGCAATGCTGAATAAACACGAAATGTATTTACTACCAATATCTTAATTTTTCTCTACTCTCTTTCGCCTAGTATTGCCGATAATTACCTGTAAATGCCGGTCAAATGCTCCTTTGCAACACACAGGTACACCGCACGCACGGTGCATGCACGGTGCACGCCGCTACACATTTACACTTATATACATATATCGCCGGCTTCCAGATGAGACGGGATAGAAAAGAAGTGTTCCTGACAGGATGTGTTGATCCTAACCGCTGAGCGCGGATCTTGCGCGCAGTTCCGTGGGAAGGCGCACGCGGCCGCGGGAACGTCGTACAAAAGTATGGAGCGCTGGCAGCTATGGATCCGTGCGCCAAATGCATAGGTCAGCGCACGGCTCCATAGCTGCCAGCGAACAGTCCAGAATTTTACCGGACAAACAGAGGGCAGGGATTTCGGACGTGGGAGCTTAGATGGTGATAATTCCATTAAAATGCATGTCATAGTGATGCTTATTCAGCGTAGCGTGCGTAGGTGCGTGTGCATGTACAGGTCTGCGTGTGTGCGTGCGTGCGGGCGCGCGCGCGTGTGTTTCTACATAACGGTGATACAGATACTCAGATCATATTAATATTAACGATTGTCAATCAACAAATTAGCGTAACATGGTAATTAAGTAAAATGACCACATACAATAAACGTAATGACGTCGTAGAATTTGTAGAAAACGGTCATATTTATAGAAATTATATGAAGGATTTTGAGTGAAGACGTTAGTATAACATGGCAAATGAATTTAACGGATGTTTGTTTACATGTGTGTGACTAATCACTTTATGGATGGTGAGTTGATACTGCGAATATCGGCACTGCACACTCGTTGCAAAGTGTAGCGGTCATTTTCGGGGGGGGGGGGCGCCACCGCGCAATGAAATGTTATGCATAATGACATAATAACTATAGGAATCATGTTTGAGAACATTTGACAAACAATTAAATAAAGGGTAACTTTATTTAACTTTATTTAAGTTTATTTAACTTTATTTTTAAAGTGTAAATGAACGGTATTTCATAAATAAGTATAGCACCCGGTATGACATGACACCATATATATACTTGACCTAAATATGAGTGTGCATGTAACTAATCGCATTGCACGGTGGCGCCGCGTCCCCACCCTCGCCCGTCACGTCGTGGCCTTTTCTCGTTTGGTGCTTATTTTTCGCTTTCTTTTGGAAATGTTTTTGCCTTAAAATGGTCGTGGCGTGATGCTCATTGACAATATATATGGTGTTGGGGCTCACGTGTTACGCATGTCGGGAACATAGATGGAGAGACACACTGACACACACACACAGATCCCGGAATTTATGTAGTACT